CATTTATTTGCACGTCATGCATAGATTAACTTATTGGGAAATCACTTACCAAATTCCTATGGCGTAGGCACTAAAGATAAAGTCGACAATGTTCACATTTAAGTTGATTATTGAGGGGACAATGCATCCTGTGTTTATTAGTTATGGCTACAAGGTGGACCTCCTTTAGACAATAGTTATATTAACACTTGGTATTTTAGTTTATTTTTTGGGTACGACATATTTCTTTTAAATGATAGTCAAGGTCATGAAGAAATGAGTAGTTAGTTAAAAAAGGAAATTAAATGTACTAAATAAGTTATTTTTGTAGTATGTGGCATAAAACTAGTATATGTAAATTAACGATAGTACGTATATTAATTGAAGTATGGATAGTAAAATAGTAGTATAGCCATAGTGTAGTTTTCTTTAAGTTAATTTGTAACATACCGGCATTAATAGTAAGATAAGAAAAATAAAGATGGTGAGAAAATATTCATAATAAATGGCATTTGATGAAAATGAAAGAAATTAAATACTTGAATAGCGGGTTATAATTATATAAATTTATACAAATAAATAGAAAAAGAATTTGAGAAAACCAAGTGTCATAGATCCAGTCCACTCTGTCCAAACAATTTAAATAAAAAGCTAAAATACAAAAAATTTAAATGCATTTTTGGATGAAATTTAGGACTCGCCCATCCATAATAGGCTTCCATAGCTAATTCCATACCTAAAAGACCATAGTAAAGACAGAGTGGCTTGTTGGCTTATATTTATTGCACTTCGAATGTAAGTCAACAACGCGAATGCAAGCCAATTACGGTAATATTCTCGGCCTTCTAGGTCCTAGGTTGGGGGGTGTTACACGAATCCTCTTCGATAATTAAATATCTTGAACCATGAACAAGATATATTTTTACGAGCTTGATTTACCGATTGTCATTTTGATGAAATCGTTTTTTCAATATTAGGGGAGAGAGAATAAGCAAAATAAGCAATTGAAAATGTAAAAAAAAAATTACATGAAGTACTCTATTTTTATATTATCTTGATCCTCCTACACAATAATATAAACTAGAAGTTCAAAAGATAATTCATTTATAAGGTATTGTAAATCAACTACCATATGCATTCTTAGATCCTAAATGAGTAACTAAAATGCATGTTCCCATTAAGAATATTCCTATTAGAATTGATGCTTTAAAAGGACAATCTATTAATGTTACACCAACTAAATCTAAAGCACATATGAAGCGTGAAAGATCGATAGATTCTAAAGACAAAAATCCTTGAAAGAAAAGAGTAAATAATCATGATGAAAATATAAAAGATATAAATATTTATAAAATGATCCAAGATATTTCGATAATAGACTTCTAGAAGAAGTTTAAATGCTCGAGAAAAATCAAGAGACTTTAATAAATTATATCAATACGAGAGAGAAAATAGGATCTGAAACAAACATTTATTGATAGCTTTTTTGTATATAATATTGCAATTGATATTTTAAATGTAAATAAAGATCCCGAGCCTAAACTTATTGAAGAATGTTAACATAGAGATTATTGATCTAAATGAAAAGAGTAATCCAAATAAAATTATATGCTCTTATAAATGAGTAGTTTTTGAATCCATAGTTAAAACACTTGAAGATATTAAACCGAGTGGGATACAAATGGATATTTATGTGAAAACGAGAATAAGAAAGATGAGATTATGAGATATAATGCAAGACTTGTAATATAATGGTTTTCGCAAAGACTCGACATTGATTATGAAGAGACATAGTCTCCTGTAATGGATGCAATTAGATTTCATTATCTTGTTAGCATGACAAAATATATGAAAAGCTTCATATGCATGCATTTAATGAATATGATCACAACTTATTTGTTTAATTAGAAATGATATATATATAAAAGCTCTAAAAAGACTTAAAATGCGTGAAACATGTAATACATATTCTCAAAAAATAAATTCAATTAAATTATAGAGATCTCTATAAGGATTATTTTAGTATTTTTTTTATTATTTTAGTTTTTAAAAATTTAATTTATGTTATTCTTTTTCTATTTATTCTTTTTTATTTTTCAATATTTGCTTTTATAAATAATCTATGTGCATGTGGTATAATCACCTCAATAAATATTTGTTGAATGAATGTTATAAAAATGACCCTATGTATTTATGTATTTTTATAAAGAAATTTGAAAAGATGTTTATAATAATTACTATATATGTTGATGATTTAAATATTATTGGAACTCCTAAAGATATTCCAAGTGTCATAAGTTATCTAAAAAGAGAATTTGATATGAAATATCTTAAGAAAACAAAATTTTATTTTAACCTGCAGTTCGAGTACTTAGAGAATGATATTTTTATTTATTAGTCAATTTATATAAAAAAATGTCTACAATTATTCTATATAATTTTCTCGTATAATGGTCATCCGTTGACTAGCCTAATGGTAGTTATTTCAACTCTCGGTTCGAGTACTTAGATAATGATATTTTTATTAATTAGTCAATTTATATAGAAAAATTTCTACAATTATTCTATATAATTTTCTATATAAAGATCATCTCGTTGACTAGCCTAATGGTAGTTCATTCACTTAATATCCAAAAAAACTCTTTTTGGCATCAAGAAGAGAACGAAAAACTACTTGGTCATGAAGTACCATATATTAATGCCACCGATGATTGATATATCTTGCTAATAATACTTGACTTGATATATTTTTTTTATAAATTTATTAGCAAGTCATAATTCCGATTCAATACGAAGACATTGGAACAAAATTTAACATTTCATACGTTATCGTCAAGAAAAAATTGATATGGTATTTATTTTACTCAAATAAACCAAAATTAGGCTTAATTGGTTATGTAGATACATGTTGTTTTACTCAAATAAATCGAAGTTAGGTTTAATTGGTTATGTAAATGCATGTTATTTAACCGATCTATACAAAACTAAATCACAATCGAATTATGTATTTACATTTGATGATACAGACTATATCATGACGTTCTATGAAGTAAACTATAGTTGCTAAATATTCAAACCATACGTAAATACCAATTCATGAGGCAAGTTAATAATGTGTTTAGTTAAGATCAATGCCCTATTATCTCCCGGAGATATGCAATTTATCTATCAGCAAAAATGTTTTAACAATATCGTATGAAGATATGCTATTTGTATAATTCAATTAAAGAAAGAATATATTAAAATGACAATTCGATGAACTCATTCTCTAAGGCATTATCTACCATAGTTTTTAAGAAAATGGTTCGCAAGAAAGACGTGGTCTTAAAGACTTTAAATGTTGTTTTTAATAGGAGGAGCCCAATATAGAGATTAATGTGTATAAGGAATATTGTATTTTTTTTCTTTCACTAGAATTTTTTTCTCTCTAGGTTGTTCCATAGTAAAGTTTTAACGAGGCATGTTTCTTTTACAATAGATATTTAATGGGGAGTGTTATGAAATAATGAATATCCATTATTCCTACAACCCATTATTCTTAATATGATTCAATTTACCTTTTAATATGAGAAATTAAAAAATTGATTCAATTATTTATGCATCTTTAATGGTTCATAATCCATTTCAATTCTCTTCTTAATTTTAAAACCTATAAATAGGCTTAATTGTTCATTATTTGTGTAAATTTGTTTTGAAGAGATTGAGATAATTATTTAGAGTTCTTATAATTTGTATTCACTTTATTTCATAATAAATTCATTTTCTCATCATTTTTCTTTTCAATTTTATTATTGTTACAATTTCTTTTATGACAAAATTCAATTAATTGGAATTCATTTAGTTTATAAACCCAAATGATTATTGGTCTACACTAGAGGAGTAAGAAGCATGGAGGGTATTGAATAAAATAATTGGTCCTTTAGAGAATAGAATTGTTTTTAGCATTTAAGATTTTCACTATAAAATTGGAAAATTAGAATGAGTGGAGCACATGAAACGCATTACCCTTATCTAATTAATTTCTGTTCTTGGCTATTCTCCTCTCTGGGAAATACCCTTGTTTATGACAACTCTTCCATTCCAAACACGTAAGGAAATAATGCTACTAAAATCTCCTTATTAAGATGATTATTTAAAAAATATATTTTATTTGACTGTTATTAGTTCATTCATTTACTAACATTTTTGTGCTAACAAATTGGTGATATTGCTCTTTTAAAGCGTACATACAGCAACCACACATGAAATGAAACAAATTATTTCGGGAAAGGGGCAGTGCATGATTTGTATTTGTTTCCTTCTTAGTATCAATAATTAAATATTGTGCTTTGAAATGATTATAATGTTGAGGTTTTTCGAAATTTCGATTTTGTTAAGAGAATCCGTCCATCAAAAGTTTAGCCTATTTCTTTTGAAATGACCTCAAATAAGATGGATCATGGATTGTAAGAACAAAAACATAACTCAAAAATCTTAGAGTCAAATTTAGGCCTGCTTTTAAAACAAAGCCCACAAAAAAAAAAAAAAAAGATTTTAGAAAAGGAAAAAATATAAAAATTCTAAATCCCTGATTTTCTTTTTTTTTTTTTTTTTTCCTTCAAAGCAGCTCCCATCGTCCCTAGCTGCCAACCACCGTAAAATCTCAATGCCATTATTATCAGGTACGATTTTTTTTCTCTTTCTGTATTTGACTGTCCTGTTATTTTCAATTAGTTTTTGTTTTCCTATTATACTTCGAGAGACTTTTCATGGTTCGATTTTTTTAATGGTGTTTTATTTATCTTCAATATTAAACACCCCCCCCCCCCCCCCCCACACACACACACACACACACACACACACACACACACACAAAGAAGAAGATTTGTTTTTTTTAAAAAAATTATTGTCTTTAATTAGAGTACTAGTTGTTGGTTGAACCAAAATAACCGGTAATTAAACTGAAATAATTGTCAGTGTCTAATAATTAGGGTTTAGGGTTTTTGATTGATTATGTGTAATTATTTCAACATAGCAGATTAATGCGAGCAAGAGAACCATCGGACGGAGGCAGCTACGGCGGGGGAATGGCAAACATGAAATTGGCTTTCAGTGATGATACTACTGCTGTTTATAAGCCAATCATGCCACCTTCTTTTATCGCTTCTAACACTACCGATGCTAATGATATTAATGACAATTTTGATCATGTAGTGAGTAGCAGTAACGGTGGGGGTGGAAGCCGTTTTGATGGGCTCAACATGAATTTAATTGAGCCCACGAAGAGAAAACGAGGACGGCCCAGAAAATATTCTCTGCTGGAAAGTAGTCACCGTGAAGAAAATCTATTTATTAATTCAAATACAGAGTTTCAATCTAGTCCAATAATGTCAAAAAAGCCAAGAGGTAGACCTCCTGGTTCAGGTGGCAAAAACCAACGAGCTTTTAATGCACATGGTAACTAACTTTAATCTTAATATTTTAAGCAAGATTATTCCCCTTTTTTTTTTTTTTTTTTTTTTTTTTTTTTTCCTTATGTTTGCTAGCTTCTTAGTTAGTAGTCACCGTGAAGAAAATCTATTTATTAATTCTTATAATATATATTTTTTTTATTTCAATTTCACTTTTCAGGATCAACAGGACTTGGATTTACACCACATGTTATTGCGGTGAAAACTGGAGAGGTGTCTTTTTTTTTTTTTTTTTCTTTAATGTCTCTTTTTCTTGATGATATTCTAGACTTCTTAGTTTGGTAATGAATTTTACTACATATAAAATCAGATGGCAATAAAAATCAAGTCTATTCGGATGTTTATGTTTGATACATGCACCCCATTATTGGTATAAATTTTGTGTAGTCGTTATCCTTATGGGGTTAATTGAGTTTAATTAATGTTCCTAATCTGAAATTAATATTATTTTTCTCTTTAAGATTTCAGATATGATTGATTGAATGAATAATGATTAATTTTCAAAAAGGCGTTAATTGTCTAGTCAACCCTCAAATGATCTTTAACCAATGCTATTAGGTACTCATCAGACGAATCCTTGTTTGAATTGGTATTTTTCTTAGCCTACGATGATGTACATTGTTTCTCTGGATCCTTAATAATAATAATAATAGTAATCCTTGAAACACATGATGGCAAACATTAAAATTTATAAACTAGAAACTTTTCTTTCTATTGAATGGAGTGATACCAAGCTCTTAATATAGTGAAAAGATGGTTATGAACCCTGTTTGCGGATTGATTGTGAGCTTAAAAAATATGATTCTTTTTACCTGTTTTAAGACCCAAAAAGGAAAAATTAATATTTAGGAGCATATATTTTGCTTAAAGAACACAATATTGTATTTGACATGTTCGTGAATTGGACTCCTTTTATGTACTCCTTTCTTTACTCTGTCGCTTTTTTTTTTTTTTTTTTTTATTGGAGGATTTATAGTGCTGCTTTCCTCTACTTTATCATGTCAGGATGTGTTCTCAAAAATAATGGCATTCTCTCAAAATGGGGGAAGTGGTCTCTGCATTTTATCAGCGAATGGTGCTGTATCTAACGTAACACTTCATCAAGCTACAGCATCTTGCGGAACCATAACTTATGAGGTTTGTCGATAGTTTATTATGCTATACTTTTCTCATTACTAAAGTTGACAAAAATTTTCTTGGAGACTAATTTATAAATCTCAGATTTTGAAGAAAAATTTGAGGGGAACGACTTTCGTATATGAGAAAAAAGCAACCGTGAATTGCCTTTAGAGATGGTTATTTATGTTCCTTTAAAAAAATACTGGTAATATCAAAAAAATGAACACCGTACTGTATCTGGTAAATCATTAAACTATTAAACACGATGAATTATTTCCATATTAATTGTTGATTAACATTTTCCAAGCAAGACAGGATGTTATGTTGATTTTTTTCAACTAGTTTTTTCATGCACTAGAACATGACCTCCTTGCATGAATCAGATGCTCTTCCTCTGCCTCTTCTGAAACAGAATGCCTTCCAAAGCAATTGATTTCATGCCTTTCCTTTTCATCCATATTTGATTTCATGCTTTCAGCCCCTTCCACCCATCTCTTGAGCTTTTTGAGCAACTTTTTCTTCTTCGAGAATGTCTGACCACTGCTTGCCAAACCTGCGCAAGGTTCCTCATGCTGCTGTTGCTGCTCTGAGCCACAATCAACAATTTCGCCACTTCCTTCAAGTTCTAACTCCAAGTAGTTTTTCTTGTCCTCAATCTGTAGTTTTTGTTGTCCATGACTTCTCATCAACTCGTGCCTTAAGCATGCATTCGCCCATCTTAAGTAAATAAGCTCTGTAGTTTCAGCTGCTCTATCCTTGTGTAGTTCTTCTACCTCATTTACAAGGTGATTATAATCTTCCATTCTTATGCTTTCTGCTTCAATCTGCAGATTGAGAAACATGAAAAATATTAGACTGCAATAACCAAGAAAATAAGTGAAAGACACGCAACGTTTCGTCAAATTTCAGTCCAATCCAATGGCATTCATTTAGTAATCAGTCCTATAAGTCATGGCAATCTAGACTACTAGTTTTGTATTCGTTCTACTTATACCAGAATAAAAGGAAAAGATAAGAATTAACCTTTGAGATCGATGAAGCTGGAGTTTCTGCTGCATTAAGCTTCACCGAAAGATCATTCTTCTCCTCTTGTAGTTGATTGACAACAGCTTGAAATTCTCTAACTTCATCCTCCAGTTTCTTGATAACGTTAGTCCTCATCTCTAGCATATCACAGCATCTCATAAGTTCTGCTTCTACATCGTTAACCTTTACATTCTTTTCGCCTATAACCCGTGATTGTTCTTTTGCTCTTCTCGAAAGGTTCTTCACCTTTCTCTCAAGCAACCCATTTTCCTTCTCAGTAAATTCAAGGTGTTCAAGAACTCTTAGGTAATCCGCCATTAAATTCTCAAACCTTTGTGTCCCAGCTTCTATTGATGAAATCTCCCTATCCAAGAATTCAACCCGAGCAGTCTCCAACAAAAACATGCTCTTAAGCTCCATAAGCACAGATTCTTGCTCTTTCATAACACGATAGCGAAGAAACTGCATAGCCAAGCGGTGTTCCCTCATTTCGAGTTCTTCAATTTTGTTTCTTAGACCTAATATCTCTTCTTTAACTTGAATCTGTGAAATTTCTGTGGAACTCCAAAACTGAGAACTTGTGATCATGCCCTCCTGGTCATCATCTTTGATGGGTGAAGATGTAGATTGGAGACTATGAATGCTTGCTTCATCTCTAAAATCATCATCAGAATCAGTTGGATTTAATGCAGAACTTAGTGTGGTTTGCAATGGAAAAGGTTTTGCTATTGTAATTCTTCTTAGAACAACCCTAGCATAAACAAAACCAGCAACAGAAAGAACCAAAGGGATGCCAGCTTTTAGGAGTAATGGCTTGATTACCTCTGTCTTCGATGTTGGGCTCTCCATCTTGAACAATGGTCAGCGAGCTTGATAACCAACAAAAACTCAATGTGGTAATGCAATGAAAATTCAGACTCTTTATAATCAAATGTAATCACATTTTTTGTGAAGCTATGTTGAGATTCTTTACCTTTTGTGTTCGTTAGCTTTCCTTTGTTTGAAGGGATAGCGGGCTGTTACTTTTTGACTACTCTATAACACCATATTCCACCTTCATTATACTTTCCTCATGTTGTTTGAATCTAATACTTTTTTGGCTAAACAAATTTCTTCCCAAATAAAGATTATTCCCTGTCTACAATGCTATTCATGATGCTTATATACTGTAATTTAGTCCCTATATTTGCCTTAGTCCAGGCCCATTGATTAGCCTTCACTACAAGTCAATGCTTGTTCATTGTCTTCAGGTTTTGTTTTGTTTCCTTTCCTCTTACCAAAAGAAAGAATAATCTCACCCGTTTAATGTTAAAAAAAAAAAAAATTAACCTTTTTACTACAAGTAAATACTTGTTATTCTGAAGTTTTGATCCATACATAAATTTTGCTCTTAAATAGAACTATAAATTTCCTTGTATTGGCTTTTGCTGCAGGGATGTTTCGAAATCTTGTCACTTTCTGGTTCCTTTTTCCTTTCAGAGATCAATGGTCAGCACCACAGAGCTGGTGGTTTAACTGTTACATTAGCTAGGTCAGATGGTAGTATTCTTGGTGGAAGTGTGGCTGGGTTACTAAGAGCTTCCTCTCTTGTTCAGGTCAAATTGTTATTCTTATCTTTTCCACTCAATAACAAAATCTTTCAAAAATTATTCCGTTCATGATGCATTTATTGTTTTCTTTTTTTACTAACATTCAATGTGCAACACTTAAAAATGCAAGGTTGTTCTTTGCCCCACTAAGAGACGAGGTTAGGAAGCCAACAAGGGTTGTCTTTTTTTCTTCTTTTTTAACCCTCATCGTATAATAACTGCACTATAATTACATTGAATTTTTTTTTAATCCAACATATAGATTTTAATTTTTTTTGTTTGAGTATATCAATTTTTTTTAAAATTATCAATCAACAACTTCGTCAATTTTTTCATTAATTAATTACGTGTTCGTTACTAAAATATAATTGTCATCATTTTTCTTTCAATCGAGTGCATAGATTTTTCATAATATCAAATTATAATTTTTTTATTTTTTTTTTAAATTGAGTACATAGACTTTCCAAAATATAAAATTACAACTTTATCATTTTTTTTCTCAATTGAGTTTATAGATTTTAATTTTTTTTTAGCGTACTAATTTTTTTTTTAAATTATCAATCAAGTACTTTCGACATTTTTTACATTAATTGATGACTTCTTCGATACCCTTAGAATATCAAATTATAGTTTTTTTTTTCAATTGATTACATAGACTTTTTTTTTTCGTACATCAATTTTTTTAAAATTGTCAATCAAGTATTTTTATTAATTTTTATGTTAATCGAAGATGTGTTTGCTACTCTTAGAATATCATATTATAATTTTATTCTTTTTTTACTGAAAGAAACTTTCCTCTTAAATGCTTATAAATAATGAATCTTCTTGACGAAAATCTCATTGTGTTTTCTTTCAATTTTCACGTCTAAATCTAATTGAGTTTTATTTTGGGGTTTTATAACTAAAAAATAATTTTTTTTTCATTTTTTTTTCAAGTTTTGAAATGGTAGAATGATTTCAAGAGGAAAGGTTTTCTACAACAAAAAGAGGAAAAAATTAGGAAAAAAATGACGAAGTACTTGATTGACGAGTTTTAGAAAGTCGAGTATATTAAAAAAAATTAAAATCGATGTACTCGATCGAAGAAAAAGAAGGGTAAAATAATAATTTGGTTTCTAGAAGTAAGGAATATTAAAAGAGAAATTAACAAAAATATTGGTTTAGAAAATTCATATATTTGATTGAGAAAAGATTAACAATTAGTGTGCTAATAGTATTATTATCCCCTTCGTGACAGATTAAGGCTAATCAACTACTTAGAAGTTATTAGATACTCTAGACTCAACACAAAAATGATATGTGTTTAATCGGATAGAAAAATTGAATTTAGTTTAGATGCAGTGAATTATCTCGAGAATACTACTTGGCAGTCAAATAAAAAAAGGAACCAAAAAAAAAAAAAAAAAAATCTTTATATTAATACTTGATATCAATTCAATATCGTTTCTTTATTATATGAATTAGTTTGTGAGGCTGCAATTCTCAACCATTCTATCCCTGAGATGAGACACTGATATTTGGCTATGTTTGTAGGTTATTGTTGCTAGTTTTACTACACAAGAAGAGAGAGACTCAAAGCTAAGGAACAAACTTGAAAATTTGTCTACTTGGCCAAAGCTTGCACAGGAACCATCAACTGTTGGAAGCTCAGCATCCCATGGAACCCTTAACCAATCATTTGTTCAGCCTAGATTCCCTTTTAATCAAAGCACCGGACCCTAAGTAACAACAGCAGTCAATAGGGACATATCAAATATGTCTTGGAGATAAACCGGATCTATCAGTAGCTGAAGTACTTTAGGATTGATTTTTTTTTTTTTCCCCTCTAGTTATTCTCGTCTCATATTACAGATTGGCCTAATACTGTTCAAAAATAAGATTTAACCCTTTTTAATAAACACCATCTTAAAATTCGAATTTTATAATTAGTATAAAATTAGGCATTTATTGCTCTGAGGATATTTACATATAAGCAATGTAAATTAGCCATTTATTGCTCTCCTTCCTTCCACATTGAACCTCAGTTTATCATAGATAAGTTTACTTAGATTCGCATCATAGACAGGCCTTTTGACATAAGAACATAATGGCTGCATTTGGTGGCTAACGTCAAAAGTTGCTCAGCTTTAGAACAGTGTTACATTTTTGTTTCTTACAATTCTGTCACCATTTGCATTGAAAAAATCCAAATGTTAATATCAAATTTTTAAGTGCTCAAATTTTAAGCTTTGAAAACAGACAGGTTAAAGGACGCAACAGATTCCACTGCCTTCCCGTTGCTTAGAAATATTAAAACAAAGAGAAAAACAAGAAACGAGAAGAATAGGCCACTGCAAGTCTGCAACGTTAACATATTGAACATCACAAGATGTTGGTTAACATCTTCACACTTTCTTTTTTCACAGACGCAAAAACATTGCACATAAAGAAAACAGATTCAAAATTTTATGATCTGATTTGAAAATTTTACACAATGTTCCGAAGTTCAACAAAGAATAGATTACAACACCATCAAAACTATTGGCCCAACCCACAATTGGTGAGCCGAATAACAACTAGGAAAATAATCTTATAATCATTAACTCGTAAGATGCCGTATTCCATTTTTAAGTTTATAAACTTGGTGAGCCAAGTAAAAACTAATAAAATAATCTTATAATCATTAACTTATAAGATGCAGTATTCCATTTTTAAGTTTCAAGATTTGTTATTACAAGGACTCTGGACTTGTAGAGGGTCTTATCTTTGAAGGCATTCGTTCACCACCAAGCTTGAAACCTGACGTATTCTTAGGTGTGATGGACATCTTGTTCATTGCGTAGTCAAATTCATCAAGATCAATATCTTGGTCAAAACTCCGAGCGATCCCTTCTTCTTTGTTTACAGCCCCAAAATCATCAGCAATATCGTCATCACTGCTGTCTCCCTCATCAACATCATAGGTGGTTTTGACATGGTTCCAGTATACAAAGTTCGGCCGGATGAAGCCCCTGACAGAATTCCAAGGAAAAACAAAATGAAACTTCTGGCAGAACTATCAACCAATAATGTAAAAGCAATGTCAACACCTTATTTTTTATGCCAAAAAAAGTTTCCCACCTCTAAACATTTTACTTGTCAAAGTTTACATATTAAAGTAACCTAACTCACAATTCAGTGCTTTGAGGATTTCCCTTAAATTTTAAAATGCAAAAGTCAATGTCAGTCAAGAATTCAAACCTGTCACATTTCTTCAGCAAACATGGGTCAAATGGGAAGAACATGTCCAGCCTCTCCAGCCCACCAAAATCTCTAGAAAGATCTGATTCCAACAAATCTTCAAATATAAATGCTTTGGAGATGGTGAACAGATGAGCAGCTTTAGCTTGTTTGAGAAACTCATTAACAATAGAAGGCAAGCACACCTATTCATCCAAAGAAACCAATAGAAGCTTAGTAAGACCTCTCTTTTTTTTTTTCAAAAATTTGGTTGGGGGTTGGAGTGGTGGTTATTTTCAAGGCCGACTCACCTCCAAAGGCCCCAATTTGTGCCTCAATATTGGCTCTATAGGCATGAGGAGAAGCTGTGATTTGAGCGTAGGAACATTCGTTATTGATCTCATATGGAAGCAGAGCACGTACATAATTCCCTGTGGTAAGAACAAAACATCAACACATCAGCTTCACCACTGCTGCCACTGGAAAGAATCTATCACATGATAAATTAGGAATCTCCTGTTAGAGCATGGAGATAGATGTTGCGAAAAAATAAAAAAGTTCAAAACTACAATCACGTGCAATTTTAAACAATGCGATAGCAATACTGGTTTGCAAACACAGAGATAATAAATGTTGCAATGAGTGAGGAGTAGTAATGTGAGTCGCTCTGCTACCAAGCAGCAACAAACTACAGAAAAAAAGGTACTGTAGTGTGCCAAATACAGTGATCAGTGTTAAGCTGCTTATAGCAAAGGAAGTAGTAAAGGTGTCGCTGTTTAATATTTTTTTGGTAGCTGAAATGGTGACAGTGACAATAGACATTATAAAACATCAATAGGATGAAGTGTCCTTGTATCCCACGCAAGTACAAAATCTAGGAGATTGCATATATTAAAACAAACTAGACAATTCATTACAGGATATCTAGAAACCACATCTAAAGTTGACAAAGTCCATGATGAAATTTTGCAAAAAACTAAATAAAACAGATACAAAAAATTATATCAGCCTTGTCAAGACAACTTCCGAACTTATTATCAAATCATCATATACCTGGCATGCAGAATAGAAGACTTGATGCCCTTTTGGATTCAAGTCACATTCCCGCTCTTCACAGTATTTCAAACACCAATGCACCAGACTGAAACACCATAAACACAAGCGGCACATTAAATAAATCATCCTCAATGATTTTCGTTCTACTATATTGAGTAGTTGCAACAATACCAATAACAAATTATTACATGGATCTTCATGGTTAAAAAGAACAATGTTAAGCATGTCTCATAACCTTTTCAACACGTTTACAACAAAGGCAGCTGATAGAAACTTCCCACGAGCCAAATAGCTAGCAAGATATGCCACAGCACTCATCCTGCATCCAACATGCAAAAATTCATTTAAAAAAATGATAATCAGGAGTCAGGACAGCTACCACATCCCATGTGACAGTGCACATTAGGACCAATTTTAGAAACTTAATGTGGAAGGTAAACAAGAGAGCATGGGCACATTGCAATTCTTTAAAGGGAAAAGGTTTGAAGACACAGCAATTGGCTCAAAATATTATTGCTACATTACCTGGTAAGCGGGGGGTTGCAATCAGAAAAGAATGTATCCACAAGTGTTTGGGCAAATTTCACACCACAGTTTTCAGGATCCAGCGCACAGGCATAGAAAATCACAAACTGTATGTAAATAAACAAATAAAAAATAAGATGAACAGTCTCCTAAATGCCAAACATATAGTCCACTTTAAAAACAGGTCAAAGTATGACAATTGCTTACCTGAGCAAACTTTGACTTGTACGTGTTCAAGATAGTTGCCATGAATGAAGATAAAAGAGTTTCAAATACCTACAACATCAAGGTAAACAAATTATTTTTTATGCAAGCTTACGAAATAACGATGTGAAGTCAAACGAGTATAACTTCAGAAAATACCTCACTCAAACGCTTTTCATTTGCACAGGCTTCAAGATGCTCAAAAAATTGTATCATCAAGCTATCCAGCAAATCAGCAGTAACATTTTTACCTAAACTCCTGAGAGTTAACGTATTTGGAAGCTGGGCAAAGAACAAGATATTAGTTTTCACTTGGGACAGCAAAACAAGAAGGTAGAAATGCAATTTGGAACTATGATATTCACTGCACAATATACAATAAAAAAACATTCAGCACTACACTGCATGAAGGAATGAGAATGGCTGAACAGTCACTTAATCAGACAACATCTTGAATATTGATACGCAACATTTCATCTCACAATTAAAGGGGATAAGATTAGATCGAAGCTGTCACCAAATAGGTTAATGGAACAGAGTTTTCGAGTATTGACTCTTCACCTCCACATAAACCACATGGAAAATGCACATTGTGCAGATAGGAACACCAGCATGCATGAACAAACAACTAATGGCTTGCGACCTTCTACAAGCTTATCAGTAGATTCACAGTAAGGTAACTTGTTTGATAATGCTAGAAAGTAAAATACAACCTAGTGGCTTTTTTTTTTCCCCCTCTTTTCCCTAGTGCCCATTGGTATTGATGAATTCTCATAGTACTCAGGAATTAAACAGTCATGTATTCAGTTTACTAGACAGTCCTCAACCATGCATACGGTCTGAAAGTGGTGAAATATTCAAAGGAGCTCAGGAATAAATTAGTCATGAATTTAGAATTTTAGTTCACTGGGCTACCATCAACCATGCACAAGGTCCGAAGGTAGTGGGAATGGCTACCCTCCAGCTATTTTCATTTGTCTGTTTCAGAAATTAATAGAACTCTATGATCATGATTTGTGGAATCTGGAACATGATCATACCTCTCCACCTTCATTGGCCTGACCATCGTCATCAGCTACCTCATCCTCATCTTCTAACTCCATTGTAAAGATACCTTTAGAAGGATCATCCCGTAACATTTCATCCCAACCAATCGCAACCTGTAGGGAAAACTCCTGAACATTAAGAGTGATGCAAAAAATAAGAGATATTGCAAGAAACAACTTATTACAACTACTTACATCCAATTCTAGCAGCATATTCACCACTTCCACGAGCATACTGTTCCCAACAAATTCTCTAATAGCACCACCGTCCAACATTAGCATATTCTTCAAATATATCTCCAGCTGTAAAAAGTGAATGAATAATAAGAATAAATCCTACACAATAATTATAGACAAGAGCCGTCAGGCATCATTTAAAGGACCCTTTTTCAGAATAGATCATCTATAGGATATTGCTGACTAGGTTATCTGTAATCACAAATAAGAACTTTAGTATAACTTTCAACTACTCAACTAAACAATTATTCCAGAGATAGCACATCCAAAGAGGGAAAAAGAATCCAAACCACAAAAGCCAATTGAACTCACACGACATTTTAGACGATCCATGTTGAAATCCTTCCTAAAAAACATAGGCCTCTTTTTGACAACTGTTGTAGACAATTTTAAGGCTGCCATAGGCACCAAATCAACAATAACTTCTAGACCAGTATGCACACGAGGAAGAACTTGTTCCTTTTTGTCCTGACCACGTGGATACCTGAGCATATCTGATTCCATTGGTGGCATAAAATTGTTTACAAGCATCTCAAGGCATAGATAAACGTATTTTCCATTTGAAGCAGCCTGTAAAATGATAACCCAAGAAAAATCAATGATGGTTCCATCACAATATAGAAATACTATTGCAAATGATTGTAAGACCACGTACCATGCATATTATAAGTTCAAGCAATGCATCCATCACATCAGGCACACAGTTCCACATGCTCATTCCAAAAATCTGGCAAGAGAACTAGTTGTTAGGGGGAAAAAAAATCCAACAACACACAGGCATTAGAAAATAATAGATCCAAACAATACCAACTAACTTACAGATTGAAGAAGGGATACATGATCAACATCGTTTATATAAGAAACTGCCCCAGATAGTGCCTTTAGACTTGTCTGCAAAGTGAGGGCAAACATTAATATAAAATCACAAAGAGTTAATTAACTAAGGTTGGTGTAATATGTAAATGCTGAACTGAGAACTCTATGTTTACTAACTTTCAAATGGACACTGAAACTGTAGCTTTGATTCAAGGATAATAACCTACCAAAAGCAAAGCCACTTTATCAGGAGCAGAATGATCTTTGTGGTGCAAAACCCCAACAAGCTGGTAGTAACTGCTCCTATCACCCTGAACACGAAAGAATTCAGCTTTATATTACTTGCTAATGAAAATGCTACAAAGAATTGGAAAACAATATGCTTGAATGAACAATGGATTGACTAAGAATCCAAGCAAGTCTGTGTCAGTAAATTATTATTATTTTAGAAACCACTAGCTAGAAAAACTACCTTATGACCCTTATTTGGTGTTCACAGGCTGGTTTGGGTTAAGGTCAGAGTCAAACCCAAAACCAAACCAAGCTTCATCGGTTCAATAAGTTTGAGGACTGGAACCGAACAGTTCTTCAAGAAAAACCAAAACAAACGCCAAACTGAAAAATATCAGTTTAGTTTGTTTTTGTTTAAGGGTTGAGGACTCCTGCTCAAAGAGTGAACAAATGGATTGGTAAACCCAAGAGCTTCTATCTCGCTCAATTGTTTTAGTAGCCAAAAAAAAAAAAAAAAAAATTCAAGCAAAACTAAAACATAAACCTTCAAGAAATTTTTTTTTTTAAAAAAAGTTAAAGACCAATCCCAGTTTCTGGGATCCAGGTGCATAATCAAGTGAAATACAAAATCGGTGCAGCATGCAACGTAAATTCAGATAAGACTTTTAGTCTCTGCCAACTCCACAACAAATTATAAAAACAAAACTTCTATTTCTATTCAAATCCTATTTAAACAATTGATCCTAGATCTCTCAAAAGATGAAGTATCTCTTCCAGAATAGGAACCCCAAGCCCACCACCGCCAATAAACAGTTCATGACTACAGGCTCCCCTATATTTAGGACTGTTCCTATGGCACGGTACTCAAATACCTTGCCAATAGCTCCAACAGACTCAAGCAAACAAATCAGACCAACCCACGGACCAAGTTAACTTGGTTTAGTCAATCAAACCAAGCCACTGAGCATCCCCACCTACATACATTTCCTATGGCAACCTATGTATGAATTAACGGTACTGTTTCTCACCACAAAAAGGTCAAAGTTTCAAACAATACCAATTTTAAAAACTGAGCATTAAACAATTTCTCCTCGAAAAACAACGCACGTTAAACTAATTATCATCAACTATTAAAGCTAAAAATTCAAAACAGAAACTAGCTTACCGTTTTAACAGACAAAAGGGCATCCCTAACATGATAAACTAAATCCAAATCAGTAAAACAAACACCTTCCTCCACCTCCTCTTGCACTTCCATTCCTCTATATTCTGTATATTGATGGGCTAATTCAACTCCCATCAGTTAATCCCCCTTAACCTGCAAAAACAAGCCAAGCCCATTAAAATAAATCCAAAACCAATAAAGAAAAAAAACAGAAGTTACCATCTGTCGAAACCAATACGTACAAGCAAAAAAAAAAAACTTACAGAAGTGGCTTTTATTAGCTTGTTGTATAGCTTTTCTTCTCTTGTCGTTCTGGATTAGTAATGGTGGAGCGGCTACGAGCCGGCGGTGAAACGGTGGAGTTGAATTTATGAAGGAGGAGGCTGACTCTTCTTTGTTTGTGAGTTTTTGATGTGTGTCGGCTGCTAAGGAAAGAAGAGTAGCAAATTCAGGGTTTTGCTACATGAAGGGCTTTTATTTGGTGTGAGTCGGCCTTTTTTCTTTTATTTGTACATTGACGCCTAAGACTTCTTGTTTTTGTATTTTTGCCATAGAGTTTTTGTTATTTACGAATTCACACCTTGTTTGTTACAAATAAGATCAACCAAGTCCAGTGAACTTTAAAATTTATTATACGAAGGCCTAGAGAGCAGACAGCCCAAGTTATGAAGTTAGCTTCTAAAAGTCCCTATGGAGACGGAAAACACCTTTTTTTTTTTTGTTAAACCTAAAGAAGTTGGATTTGGGGTTTTAAAAGCCAGATTAAATGTAAATTCTTTCCATTTATTCTCTTTTGTGAAACATGTATTTTGATAGGTAGAATTACCTTAAGATATTCGAGTAAATAGCTAACCATAATTAACTTTTTATGATCTAAGATTAGCAAATATAATTCATTGTAATCTCTAGATCGATAAAAATCATCATTTTTGAAACTGAAATGTAAAATGACAAACGTATTAATGATGATTAGTATCGAAACGTGACCATCTTCCCCGTAAAAATACAAGTTAATTATTTTTAGTACAATGGATTGGTAGGTGGAAGTTTTCATCATTAAAAAAATAATATATATATATATATATATGTTTTCATTTGCCTGAGTTTGGTTATGATAATTATAAATTCTTGTAAAAATGCATGAGAGTTATTATTCTTTTTTCTATCTTTCTTTTCAATTTTCATGTTTATTATTTATTCATTCTATTTACTAAGGCTGTAATCTAAGCCATCTCGGAGGTTTAGTTGAAATTTTTTCATGGAGCCATACCCATTGAATGAATGGGTAAAGAAACTAAAATGATTAAATTAAGTGAAAGAGGTCCAACTAATCAATTAGAGAGAAGACATTAAAAATCAAAGTTAATAGCTTCATATGTTCGATGTAATGGTTTAAGTTTTCAATTTGTGCTTACATTTTAAAATAATCTTATTCTATTATTGTTATTTTAACTACTTTCTAATATATCCTTTCACTCAATTTTTCTAGCGAATTACTAAAAATTAATCATGTGACTTGCACATAATCTTTTTTAACGAAAATGCCTTTGATGTCATTTGTTTTTCCTTTTTCTTTCTTTTTCTTCCTTTTCCTCCTCCTCCTCCTCCTCCTCCTCTCTCTACCATAAACGCTACCATTTCTCTCTCTTTAACTCCCACCTCCGAATCCCGGTCGAGTTTCGATTTCAATATCATAAAGTGCGTTGATGATTTTCACTCTTTGAATGTTGATGATAGCCTCTACTACGGGTCTCCTTTGAATTATATGGGCCATTATGAATCTATTTTGGAGTAAACACTAGGTATAAGCCAATAAAGTTCTAGAGGGGCTCGAGTTGATTAGGATTGGGATTTGAATTTGAGTTTTAATAATGGTGACACTAAAACTATGAGTTTTAGTTATCAAAGTTACGATGAATTACGAGAATTGGAACTAGAAAACAAGGAGAGGATGAGGATGAGGATGAGAGAGTAAAAAGGGAGAGAAAGAGAGTGGCGACCATAATGGAGAGAAGAGGAAGAAGGAAAAAAATAACACAAGGGGTATTTTTATTAAAAAAGGTCATGTACAAGCTACATGGTCAATTTTTGATGGATTTGTTAGAAAAAATTGACCAAAAAAATAGATTAGAAACTAGCTAAAATAATATGGATATAATATTATTGTTTTAGGATATAAAAGCAGATTGAAAACTTAAATCATTATATAAGGATATGTGAGGCAATTAACTCTATGAATCACGCATAGCATTAATCCTTTTACATTTCAATTCGGGTACAATACATGGGTAGATTTATTATTAGCTAAATATAAACATGGATTTATCATAAATGCAAATAGTAATATAAATAAGAGAGATCATTACATCAATTGTATAATAAAAATTTATTATAGTAACTAATAATAATATTGATGTCCACTATCTTAATTTATTACACATTTTTCATCGAGATAAACTCCTTCTACATTATAATTTTTCCATACATGAACTCAAATACACTTATTATAGCCTTGTGGGTTTCTTAGTGAAAATCATAGAATGTCAAAGACAAATACGAAAGTGATTAAGAAGTCATACAAAGGGTTGGTAAAAATAATCCATTTCGTTACCATGAAAATGACAAGATGATTACTTAGAACCATCATTTTTTCAAGGAATACGATACCATTAGTGATATCCCGTATATGCTTTTTTTAAAAAAAATATAATTAAGTAATTTAATTAATTTTACTATAGGCTAATCCATGTTACTTTTTTTTTTTTTAATTTTGACATAAGTCCAAATTACATAATACATAAATAAGACCGAGGATGGATCTCATCCAACATAAAGTTTTAGATCACGTAAGATGAACACGAGTATTGTAACAAAGTTAGTATCTATGTATTATCTTTGAAATGTATTAGAGAGATTGGTTTGGCGGCTTCAAAGTAGGATCTCGCTGAAAAAATGCTCGATTGTTACCTCTATTAGCTTTTACTAACAAGTTGAAGTAGTTTAGTCCAAAAAAACTAACCTTTTTTTAATTCAAATTTGATTGTCCAAATATAGATTATATGACATGGTCTTAGTGGTCAAAAGTAATCTTTAATTCATTATAAATATTAACCTTATATCATTATGAGGGGATTATAACTTTTTTATTCTTAAAAAAAAAAATATGAACTCTCTCACTCCCACATTAGAAAACATCTAAAGCTTTATTAGTTTATACTTTGACCATTCACCTACCAACTACTTGACTTATGTCTTGCTAGCACTCTCTCACTATTTGCATTCTTTCTATTTGGTTGGTTGACTCTTGTTTTTACAAATTTCAACACTAGCTCATGTATCTTGATTGGCCTGCTAACTAGTTGTTTGATCTTTTGTAAAAAAAGTCATTTATATTTTAGTGACTCGTATTAGAGAGTTAGTGATTATGAACAAATAAAATCCTCTAAGACCACAAAAAGAACACTAATCATGCTACCAATTCAATCGGTCCATAACAATGATGATACCATTCTTGATCTTAATAACAATGCCGACAATGCTAGTGAAAGGAATGGGAGAAAAACGCAATGAAAGCATTTAGAATTTTAAAAATAAAAAAAAATGATCGGTGTGATCTCATGACACCTCAAGTGGATATCCTATAACTCATAACTTAAGAATCAACTAAAGGATATCTAGAATACACATGTGAAGCATAAAATCAACAAAGTAAATCCATACCTCTTGAAGTGTAACACACATAAGTTGATTTTGGTTTTTATTTCCCTAAATGTGAAGCCTTTAGTCCATCCACTCAAACTCTACATGATTGAGCCTTTGGTCTAGGACTTGGTTTGCTAGTTTTGATCCTCTCTTTTAAGTGTCTAATGTTGATCTCTAGCTCCTACTAAGTAGTTTAGCTTGAAGTAATAAAAGGATTAAGTTTTTCTTGAGCTTAAGTCATATGTCTCTTACACTTACAGAGTTAAAGATCAAAGAATGTAAGACACATACTTGCATTATCTAATTCTCTACACTCTTCACTAACTTGCCTTACGTGCATGAGTCACGATAAGTATCTTTCACAAAGATACTTATCATTATGAATGTATCAATAAAGACATATAATTATCCTCTAAGATTACATTTCTTGATTAATTTAATGATCATGTATGCATAAATCAAGACATATAATGTTCCATTAAGATTACGTTACTTGATAAATATTATCACCTAATTTTTTCTTCCTATTTATTTTGTTTTAATTCTTAACAAAAAAAAAAAAAAGACTCGAGAAATCAAAAGAAAAAAGAAAAAAAGTGTGCAATTAAAAATAAGTGGTTAAAATTAGTTTGGAAGGGTCCAATTAAAAGAAATAGGAAGTTTGAGAACCAAGAGAACCTAATTAAGTGTACAACTAAAAAGCCTAAAACCCCAAACCCTTAAATAAAGAAAACAAGGTACGATGAGAAGAAATTTAAAACAAGTATTGATTAATTGCAATTTAAGGGCGTCATTGAAGTTTAAACAATTAAAATTGCATTTAAATTAATGAATTAGGAAGAATTAGGGACCAAAATTGATCTTTATCCCAAAAAACTCGAAATCCCACCTATAAATACCCCATCTCTCTCATTTTTTTGATACATTTTACCATTCATTCATCTCCTTTAGAAAATTTTATAGCCGAACCTCTCTCTTTTAGAATTAAACTTCTCTATCTTTTCGACCACTACCGCCGCAGCCATTATCCTCTCCAACCACAAACAACTCCGAGTTTATCACCATCACTAGCCTCTAACCGAGACAACCACCATCATCCGTTCGAAATAGCCTCCATCTCCAATCGAACCTCTCTCTTTCAACCAAACCTCCATCTTCTCCACCGGACTTTCACCAAAACCAGTTTCATCTTCACCCAAATCACACTCTCCTCTACCAAATCTTCACCAAAACTAGCTCTATACTCCCCAAAACCTCAACCACCACCCATCTTATCCTTTAGATTCTACCAAACAAAAGAAATAATGGCTTTATCTTTTTCATCTAGCCATCACAACTATTAAACATGTAACACCCCCAACCTAAGACCTCGTAGGTTGAGAATATTATGACTATTAACCCACATTTAAAGTGCAATGAATGCAAGCTAATAATGCACCGTGTCTTTTTTATGACATTACTAGGTATGGATTACGTCGTGAAAGCTTATAAATGATGGATAGGTCCTATGATTCAATCCAAAATGTGTTATAAATTTTTTACGTTTTATCATTTTATTTAGGTTGCTTAGATTGAACAAAGCTGGATCTATGATGCTCGATTTCTCTAAATTCCTTGTTTATTAGTCCGTAGAAATTTATTTATTACTTATCCATTATAAGATACTTAATCTCTTTAATTCACCTTAATTACCATATATTATTATTATTTTGCTTATTTATTTAGTGATCACATTTTAGTAATAGCATTAATAAATAAAGTGTTAACTAAAAGAAACTAATGCTAACTATAATTAAGTTATTTCACTAATACTACTTTTGTTTTAAGTTTAGATTACATACCAACTATGCCTATTTACATAAAAAATAACTTAATGTCATATACTATAAAAATGACTTATTTACTTATTTACATAACATTCTCATCTATAGTTCTACTTGTTCATAACTTTAACTATTGCATAAAATAAATCTGTCATACCTAGTACATAAACTATAATACCGAGTACTAAGAAAATGGTTACTTAACGATGTTCTATTTTGCTATCGAAGCCACATCCAAAATACACATAATGCACCGATCCCTCGACAATCGATTCGGTAGTGAACATTGCCACTATTACCTATAATGCTTACACCATAAAGAACTAGGTGAGTGATAGCTTAGTAAGTTAATATATGCATGATGTGAATATATGCACGTGAAATGCATATGAAAAATATTTTCATGTCTTTTCGAAAACCCTTCTCATGATCATTCGGAAACCCTTTTTTCATACTTGGATGCACCCTATCGATTATTTAAAGGTACACATCTATACCCACTCGACCATCTTTCTTATGCAATTCTCTTGTGAGGCCATCACCAATTCCCCTAGAGTTGAGGCTAACATAAATTCCCTTGATGAGAAATGCCATCTCTTTCCATTAGGGCTTGCCCCACATGAAGATTTTCTTTAGCTTGAACTTCTCTCTCTTTTTTAATTGCTACCACTAACAACTGTCACCCTTTCCAACCATTAACAACACCAGCCCATAACCACCACCAACTACCGGCTATGATAGCTACCATCACTAGTTTGAAACGACCTCCGTTTCCAACCCAAACCTCTCTCTCTTTCTCTCTCTCTCTCTCTCTCCCCTATAACCAAATGCCCCTCTCTCTCCACCAAACCTCCACCAAAATCAGTTTCATCTTTACCAAAATCACCATTTCCTCTACCAAATCTTCACCAAAACTAGCTCCTTACTCCTAAAAACCTCAACAACCACCCACCTCTTTCATTAGATTCTACCAAACAAAAGAAACAATGGCTTCATCTTCTTCATCTAGCCACCATAACTATCAAACACCACCAAACTCTAATTAAATCTCAAACACAAAAAGAAAAGACCAAACTCTCAAGCCTTGTCTTTTTATTCTCTTGGGTTAAGCATTTTATCTTTATGTTGGGATTCCTTTTTTGTTAAAATGTAAAAAAGCCTAACATTTTATTGGGATCTTTTGGGATTAGAATTGACCTTTTTTGAAAAAGAGAGGAGGTAAAGTTCTGTTTTGATGTTGTTTCATTTGGAAGAATGGATGAATATCTCGGGTTTAATGTGTGAATAGTAGCAAAGATGCTACTATTTTATGTTGATAGTGAACAATAGCAAGAACTAGGTTTGGACAAAAGAAAAACACTAAAAAATCTATGGATTGATTATTGTATTTAGAAGAAACAACATGATATTGTAGACTATAAATTTTATATTATTATTATTTATTGGTTAGAATAGGATACTTAGATCGGATAAAACAAGATTAATTTCTATTATGGAATTTTAAGTCAAACAAAATAGAATTGAAAAAGGGCTCGAGAACAATTGCTTCTTCCTTTCCGGTTGATCGAAATAATTATTCTTCATCGAGATTGAAGTGAAACTAATCCAAATGGAATCATTAATAGCATCACAACATTTGGGTAATTATTGGACCTATAAAGATTAGTTTTAACTAATAGATAAAAATGATGAAAATTCTATATTGTGGATGATTAAACTATTAAATGTTTTGCTTGATTATGAGTGAGATAATTGCCATGTTTATTGTTATGTGAGATCGTTTTATATGTTTTCTACTCATTAAAAAAGAGGCCACCAATGACTTTTTTCTTATGTGGACGAAATCCCTAGTGGTCTCAAAATCATTTTTATTTAAAAAAAGATCATTGAAATGAAATCATTGGTAACTTTTCACTTATATGACAAAGTCTGCTAGTAATTTCGAGATCATTTTACTTGTTTTACGCTTGTTAGAAAAGCAACCACTAGTAACTTTACATCTATACGGATAAAGCCACTTAGTGGCTCCATAAACTGGTTTTATTTGATTTCTACTTGTCAAAATGAAGTCTTTAGTAGCTTCTCATTATGTGATGAAGTCGTTAGTGGTTTCGAAGTCGTTTTATATGTTTTATGCTCATTAGAAATAGACCATAAATGACTTCCCACATATGTGGAAGAAGCCATCACTAGCCCCCAAAACATTTTTACTTAATTTATGATCATTAAAATGAAGTTGTTGGTGACTTCTCACTCATGTGATGATGTTACTAGTATTTCGGGATCATTTTATATTTTTCCTACTCGTTAGAAAAGAGGCCACCGGTAACTTTCCACCTATGTGGAGGAAGTTGCTAGTGGCCCTAAAACAATTTTTATCCAAAAAATGATCATTGAAATGAAATCACTGGTAACTTTGCACTTATATGATGAAGCCGTCGGTGATTTCAAAATTATTTTATATGATTCGATCGATAGAAAAGAGGTCGGCAATGACTTTTTACCTATATGGATGAAGCCACCAATGGCCCTAAAATTATTTTTATCTAAAAAATGATCATTTGAATGATGTCATTGGTAACTTTCCATTTATATGATAAAGCCACCAATGATTTTGAAATCATTTTACCCGGTTTTTATTCATCGGAAAATAGGCCACCGATGACTTATTTCCTATATAGACAAAGCCATTAGTAGCCCTAAAACCATTTTTATTTGAAAGCTAATCATTGAAATGAAGTTGTTGATAATTTTTCACTTATTTGAAAAAAGTTGTAAGTAATTTTAAGATCATTTGACATGTTCTCTACTCTTCGAAAAATAGGCTACTAAGTGACTTTGCACCTATGTGGATGAAGTAGCCAATAGCCTTTAAACCATTTTTATTTGATTTCTACGTATTGAAATGACATCATTGGTGGCTTCTCACTTGTGTGATGAAGTTACTAGTGATTTTGAGACCATTTTACATGTTCTCTACTCATTCAAAACGAAGTTATCGGTAGCTTCCAAACCATTTTTATCCTTTCAAATGATTTCGTTATGGGTTTAAGTCATAAGAGACTCACCACTTCTATTTTAAATAATTTTTATCATGGGCTTGAGTCACATGAGATTTTTCATTTCCATTTTAAATAATTTATGTTACGGGCTTGAGTCATAATAGCTCGTTATTTTCTTTTCAAATGATTTTTATTATGGGTTTAAATTGCAAGAGACTCATTATTTCCATTTCAAATGATTTTTGCTATGAGCTTAGTCACAAGAGACTCATTATTGTCTTTCTAAACAATTTTCGTTATAGGCTTGAGTCACAAAAGACTCATTACTTTTATTCTTATAGAACATCTTTGTTAAAGGTTGTAGTCGCAAGAGACTCATCATTTTCTTTCCAAAAGATTTCTTTTATGGACTATAGTCATAAAGAAATCATTATTTTTTATTTTATTTAAATGATTTTTTTATGTTATTGGTGGCATCCTACTTATGTATATAGAGTCACTAACGACCACCTTATCTCTTTACTTGTATGAATCAAAATTGTCAAGTGACTTTCTATTTATATAGACGAAGTCATTAATAGTTTCTTAATGACATTAATATGGACTCGTAATCCTAAAAGACTCGCCTTTTACCATTACAGGTTTGTAGTCACCAAGATTTTGGCTAAAATTCAAATTCCTATCCACCTTTCTCTTTTTGAGCATGAATATTGGGCTTGGACTAGTCCGAACTCTAAATTACTCTACTATTCCATCCTAATAAAATAGATTCACTCAAATAGACATAGAAATATAACATAGTAAAATTAGACTTTTGTTTTCACATGCAAACAATACAACGTACCTCAAGTAGGATAAGATGATGGTGATGTTATATCTTTCCTATATGTAATCGATCCCTTACCTAGATATCTATGCAAACTAGTTTGTTTAGAGTCTTCTAGTTCTCTTCAATTAGCTAGGTGGCGACTCCCTACTCTTACGCCTTCTTGTTGTCCCCCTTCGACAATAAATATATTAATTAAATGACCCAAGCAAAATAAATATCAATTTATATCTTATATAAATCAAATGTTGATTATTTTATCCTAACTTGGATTAAATTTCAAGACATGCTTAGAGACCTTGTAATTTCAATTACAAATTTAATCATATTAATTTTGATTAATTAATTACACTTTTTAGTTAATAATCGGACTA